GACTAATTACTTTTCCTGGATTTAAAATTGGACATAGAGTAGAAAGTCAGTATCTGAGTTGGCTAAGTGAAAATCTATAGTAAAAATCTTAGCAGTGGTTTATAAAAATATATAAGCCTCAAATATAAAACAAATTAGTGAGATTCAAAAGGTTATGTTTAAATTTCTCTTTATCACTTGTGACCTTTCTAAGGTCCTCTGAACCACTGTGATCTTGTTGTTGTTTGGGGTTTTTTTGTTTATTTGTTTGTTTGTTTTGTTTGCTTTTTTACTGAGTGGATTCTTCTCTATTCTTTATTCTAAGTGTTGTTTACTCATATCTGTATCTTAGAAAATGTCTACATTCTTAAATATTTTTTCTTGCTACGAAAGTGCCTAAGAGACCACTGATATTAATTTTGGTATCCTAGAAAAGAAATAGGCTTGCTCACATTAAGAAGTGGATTTTATAGTAATAGGTGGCATTATATTGAAGCAAATACTTTGAAAAACAGTTGGCACAGAAGTCATATTAGTGACCTACAAGGTTGTTTCAAGGCACTAAATTCATTTCAGTAAAAGCTCTGGTATTTTACAAGCCAGATGTGTTTGTTTAAACCTTTTTTCTCAACAATAATACTATTAGAGTTAGACAATCAAAAAACTAAGGCTATAAATTACAGCTATAAGAAATGAATAATGTAGTCTGTTTGTTTTAAAGAAAATGCCACGTTTATTACAAAATATGTATGGAAATAAAATGGATATCAAAAAACATGATTTTTGTTTTGAGGAACCAAATTTGGTGGATTTACAGATTTCAAAACAATATAACGCTACCGTAGTCATGATGGTATGGTATTTCAATACAGATAAGCAACTAGATAATACAACAGAATCCAGAAACCATTTCATACATTTAGAGTCAATTGTTGAGATAAAGTTACCAATGTAATTCAATTCCAAAAGTGTTATATATATATTTTAAATGGTTATTGAACATTTGAATATTCATATAAAATACCCTTAACCCTGACCTCGACTTACTTCACATTATAGACAAAAAATTAACTCAAAATGACTCATTGATCTAAATATAAAAACCTAAATTTTAAAACTTCTGTAAGTTTTATTTTTTTAGATAGGACTACGTTTTACTTGAACTGTTGCATCATATAAGCTATCATTGTATTGTAGTGTCAGCTGTGTGGACTATTTCCAGTATTATACAAAAAACAGTCTAGGCACTGTCAACAGGCTTAGTACAAACGATTTTTTGAACACCGATGTAGCATTGTAATGTTTGTATTTGAATATTTCATGAGCACAGCAGGAGCTTTGTGATATTTTTATAAATCTTAATTGAAAATTACATTGAAATAGTTAATAATTTTATTTACAATTCAGTCCTTTTGCTAGTATGAAAAAATAAGTTGGACACATTTTAATGCCTAAAATGAATGTATAAGACTAATGCAGGCCTAACTGGTTTGGCTCAGTGGATAGAGCGTTGGCCTGCAGACTGAAGCGTCCCAGGTTCGATTCCGGTTAAGGGTATGTACCTTGGTTGCAGGCACATCCCCAGTAGGGGGTATGCAGGAGGCAGCTGATCAATGTTTCTAACTCCCTATCCCTCTCCCTTCCTCTCTGTAAAAATTCAATAGAATATATTTTTAAAAATAGACTAATGCAGTCAAACAGAGATGCATAAGCTAGTGCAGCTCCTGAAAGAGCTACAAAAAGACAAGACTGGAAGAAAGTATATTGAAAACTTTATAACAAGTGGCAGCTGAAATTTTCTGTAGCAGAGAAAAACAGGAGGCTACTTGTCTGTTGTATAAAACAAATTGTGAAAATAATAAAGTGGATAATATGAATAGACATAGAGGCTAATGCATAATTTTAATAAGTTCCTTTTCAAAAGTTAAAAAAGTAACACAATTATTTACCTGAAAACAGAATTAAATGTTCAAGAAAAATTTTGTAAATTATTTTTAATGTGATCTGAATTTATAACTTTGGCCAACTATAGTTTGGATTCTTACACTAAAAAGAAAATCATTTTTAGATGGAGAGGTGGTAATAGATATTAATAAAACTACATATACATATACATGTAGTTTTACATATGGCATATATATTATTATAATTATGGTGTTTATTAGGAAATTATGAAATAAAGGCTAAAATAATTGTTTAGAAAAGTGAAATATTTTAAATTAAGACACCAAACAATTATATGTATAATGCAAAATATTTGTAATAATACCAAAGATCAGTTAATTAAAAATTTGGAAAAGTACAAGCCCTTTTAGTTTTAGATGAGTTGTGTGATATGAGACACTGCTCAATTAATACTCTGGGTATGTTTGTCTCAAAAATACTCCAAATTCACACACACACACACACACACACACACACACACACACAAATATGTCTACTTGTGACCAAAACTATTGAACTCACAACATGGATATGTTTGAATATTTTGTATCCATCAAAAATTAGTTTTAACTAGTCAACATCATGTGAACAGAGGTTATATACACATTAACCAGGATGGATTTTTGAAAGAGAACGAAGTTATATATTAAGCTGAGAAATGCACTTTAAAAATTGGACTTATAAATTTTTACTTCAATGCCTTTTATTTTGCAAGATCCTTTATCCTTCTCCAGTCTATCAAACAATGAATATTTCTAAGACTTGATTCAAAGTTACCTTTGCAACAAAGTTTTCCATGATTCACTCTAAATGACTCCATTCACTACATAGCACTTAAGATATTTAGTTGCATATGCATATAATTATTTGGCTTTTATTAAAGACTAGAGGCCCGGTGCACAAAAATTTGTGCACTCGGGGGGGAGGGAGGGTCCCTCAGCCCGGCCTGTGTCCTCTCACAGTCTGGGACCCCTCGGGAGATAACAACCTGCTGGCTTAGGCCTGCTCCCGGGTGGCAGAGGGCAAGCCCAATCCCTAGGTGCAGCCCCTGGTCAGGCTCAGAGCAGGACTGATTGGGGAGTTGGGGCGCCGCCCCCTGTCATGCACACAGCAGGGCGGATCGGGGGGTTGCGATGCCAACCTCAGTCACGCTCAGGGTAGGGCCGATTAGGGGGTTGGGGCACCACCCCCTGTCACACTCAAGGCAGGGTCCATGGGGAGGTTGCGGCACCACCCCCTGTCACGCACAGAGCAGGGCCAATCAGGGGTTTTGGGAGCTCCTCCCTGTTACACACAGAGCAGGGCCGATCAGGGGGTTGAGGAGTTCCCCCCCTGTCACTCACAGAGTAGGGCCGATAGGGGAGTTGGGGCACCGCCCCCGTCACACACAGAGCTGGGCCGATCAGGGGGTTGGGGCGCCGTAACCTGTCACACTCAGGGCAGAGCCGATGGGGAGGTTATGACTCAACCCCATCACACACAGAGCAGGGTCTGTGGGGCGAGGGGGGTGTTGGGGCGCTGCACCCTGTCACACACAGAGCCGCAGGGCAATCAGGGGTTGTGGAGCTCCCCCCTATCAGGCACAGAGCAGGGCTGATCAGGGGGTTGAGGTGCCTTCCCCTGTCACAAACAGAGCAGGGTGGATAGGGGGGTTGTGGCCCTGCCCCCTGTCACAGAGCCACAGGGCGATCAGGGGGTTTGGGCGCTGCCCCCTGTCATGCTGATCCCGGTGCTGGGAGGCATATTACCCTTTTACTATATGGGGTAGAGGCCTGGTGCATGGGTGGGGGCTGGCTGGTTTGCCCTGAAGGGTGCCCTGGATCAGGGTGGGGGTCCCCACTGGGGTGCCTGGCCAGCCTGGATGAGGGGATGATGGCTGTTTGTAGCTGGTCACACACCCTTCAGGGTGGGGGTCCCCACTGGGGTGCCTGGCCAGTCTGGGTGAGGGGCTGAGGGATGTTTTCAGGCTGGTGGGTGACTGAACCTCCCAACGCTCCTTTTTTTCTTTTTTTTTTTTATTCTGGGCCAGCTTTAGCTCTGAGGCTTGGCTCCAGCTCTTAGGCCTCGGCTGCTGAAAGCAGGTATCTGGTTTGTTTGGGTTCTATAATCGTAACACTGTTTCAACTCCAGCTCTGAGATCCCGGCTCACTGAAAGCAGGTTTCTGGGGTTTTGTTTAGCTTCTATATTTGTAACAATGTTTCAAACGGAAAGCTCAGAGGCCGGCAGCAGCCGGCGGGGAACGTTGGAGTCCTCTGTCACTGAAGCAAGCAAGCCTCATGTTCGCTTCAAGCTGCCTGGCTGCCGGCAGCCATATTGGCTGGCAGTTAATTTGCATATTGCCCTGATTAGCCAATGGGAAGGGTAGAGGAGGTACAGCTAATTACCATGTTTCTCTTTTATTAGATAGGATACTAGAGGTCCTGTGCACAAAATTCATGTATGGGGGTGTCCCTCAGCCCAGCCTGCACCCTCTTCATTCCGGGACTCCTCAGGGGATGTCCGACTGCTGGTTTAGGCCTAATCCCTGCATCAGACATTCCTCTTGTAATTTGGGACAACTGGCTCCTAACCGCTCACCTGCCTGCCTGCCTGATCAGCCCTAACCACTCTGCCTGTCTACCTGGTCTCCCTTAACTGCCCTCCCCTGCCAGCCTGGTCACCCCTAACTGCTTCTGCCTTGGTCCTCGCCACCGTGGCTTTGTCCAGAAGGATGCCTGGAAGATGTCCAGTCTAATTAGCATATTACCCTTTTATTAGTATAGATAAGAAAAATAAAGAGATATATATATCTTTAAAATATTTTAAAACCTGTTTGAATCCCTTTTCTTTCCTCTCCTCTAAGGGGAATGTGCTCTACTATATTTTTCAAATTCTGAATATGAATATACTATTCTCCAAGTAGGTGTACCACAAATATTTTCCCAGTGACTAAAGATACAATCGTGTTGGCAGATTTAATAGAACCTGCCTGGGGAGAGTTTTTTCTGTTACAAAGCACACACTGGACCTTGAGCTTTTATCAGCAACACTACCTATTGATACTTGCCGCATGAAAATCTGGTGTGCTTCTGAGGAAACACTGTGGCTGAGAAGTCAGATAATAGTTTGGATGGGATTTTCCCAAAGTCTTTTTTAGTTGCACCATTGAAGTAATGTGTAATAGTCTTGTTGAAGATATGATATGATTACAACAGGGGGGGAAACCCTTTTACTTCCTGGTATTGGGAGTCCTCCTAGCATATTATATTAGCATACTACTTCCAGATAGCATTGAGGAGCAATAGAAAATAAGGTTTTTTGATGCTGTTATAAAAATAGCATCATACTTGGTAAGTAAAAATATTTATTAACCAAGAGAGGAAAGTTTTCTAAAATTCTAGTGTGGGTTTGGTTATTTCTTTTCTTTCTTTCTTTCTTTCTTTCTTTCTTTCTTTCTTCCTTTCTTTCTTTCTTTCTTTCTTTCTTTCTTTCTTTCTTTCTTTTATCAAGTTGTACATGCCTTTAGCTTCTTATTATCAAATTTTGCTGACTTGTTTTATTATATCTCTGAATAATCTCCTAGCAGACCGCTAAAAAATGACCAAGGTGGCCTTTGAGTTATGCTGCTAAAATGATTCATTCCAGTAGCAGCTCAATCCTTGCTTGGTAGGAGGCGTGCAGGAGGCAAGGTTTCCATGTTTTGCCTTTACATCAAAGTTTCTTTCTCTCTCCCTCTCCCTCTCCCTCTCCCTGTCTCTCTCTCTCTCTCTCTCTCTCTCTCTCTCTCTCTCTCTCTCTCTCAAAAAAGAAATCTTAAAAAAAAAACATAAGTTTTATATAATAGCAAACATCTATATATCATGCTGGTAAAATAAGTTTACTTCTGATTTTGTGCTGGGAGTACATGCCTTGTTTTAGTACATAAATAACAACTAATTATTAAGAAAACATTGGTGTGTTTTTTTAACCTATAGCTACAGACTAGCCCCCATAGAATAATTTTCCAGTTCAATTAGGAGCTGTATACAATGCATTAAAGTGTGTTTTACAGCCCAAAGTCCTTGAAAGCAACAGTGCAGATCCTGGGACAGTTGGTATTTCTGGAGATAGTGCTGGAGGGAATTTAGCTGCAGCAGTCACTCAGCAGATAAAATGTTCAGAATTTTCATTTGTTATGTTTTCTTTCATCTTTAATTTAATAATAGTTGTTATGCATTTAAATTATAAATACAATGTTTCAATATTTTTTCTTTTACTTATTTAGGGAACATTGAAAAAAATAATTTCATGCTTTAATACTGTTTTTTTAATTAAAATACTGATATAATTTCCTATATACTATACCAGCCTTTTGAATGAGGAAAAAAATCAATAATGATAGCAATAACCATAATTACAAAGTCAGCATATTGCATGTATTCTGAGTATAGTCAGAATATACTTTCAAGGATGTTGTATAACATAACATAATATGTGGATGTATGCTCACAGCAGCAAATATAGGTCATCACTAGGAGAAGGCAACATGAACCTAGGTTTCAAACTTCTCCTAAAAATATCTATTTTTATTTGAACAAACAATAGCAAGTTGAAGATAGCAAGGCACAAAGGCAAATAGAGAAATGAGAACTAAGTAACAGGAACAGCCAGATTCAGATATTGTTATAATTAGAAAAAAGAATGTTTTAAGAGAATGTGTTCTGATAGCTCTTAGTGTATGATTTACGGGTATAATTTTCTATATAGATAAACATTGTATTCAAGTCAATCAAACCGAATACAAATTGAAACAAAGGAATCTAACCACATATCATATTGGTAACATTACAAGAGAATAAATTTGTAGTAACTATTTGAGTATTTGACTCAAGTGGAAGAATTTAAGGTAGAAAATATTATAAACAAATATTAATTATCCTTGGGTGATGGTAGGAATCTTACTATTGAAATTTTGAGATAATTTCTTATATTTCAACTAGTGGCCCGGTTGTGCAACGGTGGGGGGTGGGGGAAGTCCCTCAGCCTAGCCTGCACTCTCTCAATCTGAGACCCCTCAGGGGATGTCTGACTGCTGGTTTAGGCCTGCAGTCGGACATCCTTCTGCAATCTGGGACTGCTGGCTCCTAACTGCTCACCTGCCTGCCTGCTTGATCACCCCTGACCACTCTGCTTGCCGGCCTGCTCGCCCCCAACTGCCCCCCCCCCCCGTCCTTCTCACCCCCAACTGCCCCCCCTTGCCGGCCTGCTTGCCTTCAACTGCCCCCCCTGCTGGCCTGCTCACCCCCAACTACCCCCCCTGCTGGCCTGATCACTCCCAACTGCCCTCCCCTCCTGCCCTGATTGCCCCTAACTGCCTCTGCCTCTGCCCCACCACCATGGCTTTGTCCAGAAGGATGTCTGGAAGGTCTCCCGGAAGGTCTCCTGGTCTAATTAACATATTACCCTTTTATTAGTATAGATGTAAAGCAAACATGAAATAATATTAACCAAAAAAAATCACGTTAATTGCTGGGGTCCAACCCCAGCAGGTCCAGGGGTCCCCAAAGGTGTGGACGGAGTCGGCGAAGAAGGAATGACACAGAGACAGCGTTCAGTTG